ACGATATGACATATCAAGACTCATGAACAGTTAGATTCGCTGTCCTGAAATACGTTCAAATCCAAGATGAAAAGTCAAATGGCTACTGCCCTGAAGACAACGACCCCTTGAGTAATTGAAAGACTACGTTACGACGTATGAATTGAAACAAACTGCAATTGTGCTTATCATAGACCATTCAAGAGTATTGAAGAAATTTTCAATCGATTCTGTTAACCAAGGACGTACAGATAAGACTCGTAACTGAACGAAGTTATGTATGTCAAGTATGCAATACTACACACTATGAAGGAACTTTTGTCATCAAAGGATCAATGAAGACCTTACTTAATCGAAAATTGCTAATCTCTCGAAGATTGAACGAGTTTGGTGAAATCAATGACTTGAGAATACGTATCCGAAAGATAGCGACATAACCATATGAATATGAAACGGTCATGATCAGTGAGATCATTACAAAACGTTGAACGTTGAACCTAAGAAGAATTTCGAGGACGAAATTCCTTTTAAGGGGGGTAGAAATGTAACGCCCCAAAACATACCTTAGAATTATTAATAGAAAATTATTAAAATAAATCAAATTTGTTTTAGTTAAAATAAATTGTTATGGGCTTTGGGCCGATAAAAATATGTTTCGATATCCCATATCATAATCAGGATAAATCTCATAAAGATAAATCCAATTTATTGACTATTTGTGTGGTCTTGATTGGGAACCTAAGTACAGACCCAAATCAAGAATAAATGAAGAAATTAATTATGATGTGAACATTGAAATGGTTTATTGAAATAAATCATAAGAATAAATAATATGAATTGAATATAACATCTTTTATAGTAAAGGTCAAACAAATCAATTTTGACTCTGTCAAAGTCAAATACCCAAAAATATGATATCGGAAAAAGTATAACGAATAAATACAAAACCTATGTCGTTGAATAGAGCTTGACTGCCTGGTCGCAACGGTGCAAACGGATTTCAATTCGGAGAAAGTTGGACCAAAAAGTGTACCCCGACTGGGACCAAATTAGTCCCAATCAGGGAAGATTCGTAGCAATCAGACCAAATCAGCCGACCTTCCCATTTCGCCGATCGTGAGTCACCACTGACTCAACTCCATTAGCTACTTCTTCTTCACCAATATATAAGGAAGACCTCTCTTCCTCATTTCTTCACCATTCTCCCTCAAATTTCTTCTAAGAGGTAGCCTTGAGTGTAAGGAGTGTTGTGGTGCTGTCAATTTGGTGTGGAATCACCGGAGCTAAGAGTTATCGTCGCCGGAAGTTTCGCCGGAAAATTTCAAAAGCCTCCATTAAGCTTCGAGGTAAGCCTGTAGATATATCTAGTGACTAGAATGTTCATTTAGATCGTTTCTACGTTCATAAACGGTCGTTTGGTTGAGTTTTGTGTTTGACATGCTTGAAGAACCAAGAATCATAAACCATGAAATTGATGTTAAAACTATAAATTAATGATGCCAAAATGATCCACGAACCTTGGAGAACATATCTATATAGTTTCGTTGAAGTTCGGTAACTAAAAACGGTATTTTCGAAATTGGACCCGAACGAAGAATAAGATGAACAGTAACCAAAACCAGACTGTCTGGATCGATCCAATGGCCTGGATCGATCCTCTGGGACTATTATCTCTACATATGGATCGATCCAGAGGGCTAGATCGATCCCCCGAAGTTCTGATCCGAAAATTTGTCCGAAATTGCTATTTTTGAGCTCTAAAATCCTATTTTTGATACCAATGGATTATGACCATTATAAAAATGATTTACCATAATAAAAATGATGTTTTTAACAACTAAAAATGTTATGTGTTACATGACGGTAAGTTCGTGTGTTAACACTCGAAGCTAGGCCGCTATTTATTATCAATTGTTGTGTTAATTGATGATTATGATAAATGAATATTATGGATGATTATGAGTATTGAACCTACTGATTAAAATAAGTATTTATGATTGAATCATGAATAAAATGAATACATTTATAATTATGAAATGATTTGTAGTGTTAAGGGTATCTAGAAGAACTCTAAGGTATACACATTTAAAAAA